AGTCTGAATAATAAACCACTCAAATGCAAAAGCAACAAATTGAAAGACATATCGATAGCATATATGTTCCACGTCCTGGCTTATTTGTATATATGTCAATTTTCAATATACACGAATTTCCCAGTCGCCGAATAGGAGCGCTCACACCTTGAAAAGTGCCTTAATTAACTAGGTAACAACCATGCAAATCAACGGAGCAAGCTGCGAAGCCATAAAACACGTCAGCACAATAGCACAAGGCGTTGGTAATGGAAGGGCAGACGGCCGGCCACACCTGAATGCGAGGCTCAGAGCAAACAGAATATCAAATGGCAATCATTAGCCGCCAATAAATCGTGCTGCTGACGCGAGCAAGCAAAACGCCTTATTTATTCTCAATTAGGCGTACATTAGCCAAAGTCGCACAGACTTTCACATTGTCACATTGAGCTGAAAACCGAAACATAATTAACAAGCTGTATACAAGACGCAAAGGGCAGCCGGAAAAGGAAACGGGCAAGCCTAGCAGCCATTTTCGTGGTCGAGTGTCTATCTGTCTATGTGTGTATCTATGTGTGTGTGTGTTTGTGTTCAAGCGAACTAATTGAAATCGCTTGTAGCTCAAAAGCTTTGTACCAAACTCAAAGCGCAGCCATTTTAATTAAAATTATGCAAAGCTCTGCCTCAAATATGAAGCATACGCCCGAGTATCGATCTGACAGAACCATTAGACAACAATTATTATGCGTGCTCTGGCTTATTCAATTTTGATGCTCTGCAGCCAAAGAGTATGTTTAATATTTCGATTATTAAGTCTGCTAATCGAATGCCTTGCAGCCAAATTGATGTTTAATAAGCTTAAAGTAGAGCATTCCGATTAACAATGCCTGATATATAAAATATTTATTCGCAACTACATGAACATTATTATAGAAGCATAAAGTTAAAAGTATTTGAGACATACCAGTAGCTATTTTAAGCCTCCATAGATGAGTTGTCTAGCTAGAGGACACTAAGTTTCAAGCCCTAGAGTATGAAATATGTATTGCAATATTTTGGCTGTGAGTAACTTGTGTGTGTAACTTAAAGCATTCAACTTGATAGTACAATCAAGTCGGCGTTATGCGTTCGTGTCTGATATAATCTTCCGCTGCCTACAAATGGCTTAATTGCTCGTGTACAACAACCGTCAAGTGACGGCGACTACAACAATAACAACAACAATAACAACAACAATAACAACAATAGTTACAATGGGAGAGTACCTCTCAGGCGTTTATTTGGATTAGACATTAGTAGAAAAGCAGCTCACAGATACTTTACAAGCAGCTTAGCACTAGGCAAAGTGTTTTATTGTACGGGCTGGCAGCTCCGCTTTCCGTTTTGGGCTGTTTTTGTATTTGTTTAGGATTTGCAGCGCACATTTTTGTGTGTGTTGCGCAGATTTACGCATGAGTCGTCAACTTTATTGCTAATTTATGTGCAGCGTTGTGTAATTCTGGCCATTGCCACGCCTCTGGGCAGCTAATGTTACAGTTTCGGGTCTACGTAATGCCATGCTAGTTTAGGTGTGGCCCGCCACAAAGATAAGCCTTCTGCACGTGCCCGACCTCTCTCGTCATCGGCGCTTATTAATTAGTTGATAATGCGTCAAAGGCAGACATTTCCAACATTTCATTTCGACACTCGCGGGTTGAATGCACTTCACTTGAGGCTGGGAAAGCTTGCAGCTTTCTGTTGCTGGCATCGCATTTTCTTCTTTTCTTAATTTTTTTTTTTCTTTTTTTTTTTTTTTTTGATTTTCAGCCAAGAGAAAAACGCAAACAGACTCGGAATGTGTTGAGCCTGGCTACGTGTTTATAATATGAAGTTTTTCTTGGCACAGCTCGAAAAAAGCAGAAAGGCATAAAGCGACTACGACTTAAAAGGCATTTGTATGGCTGGTTTGCTTTACTGTAGTTTTATTTTATGCCTTTTGCAGTTGCCTTTATTTATGTCGCTGGCGGCATTTCAAGAAAAAAAGGAACCGAACAAACAAATTCTACAGAAGAGCCCAAAAATAACAATTTAAAACTTAACGAGCGACTGTAAACATTTTTGAAGTAATAAGTTTTGGTAGAAAATAAAATATCTAGCAAGAAACAGATTACACACATTTTCCCTTGAGCATATCTTGTTTTTTTGTTTTCATAAATTTTACATAAAAAAGTTTATTATTATTACTTTAAAGCCCAAGCCTTTTTTGATGTTACTAAAATAGTGTTCCTTACGACTTGCATTAGATTATTCTAAACATATTTTACATTCTAAGGTTAACCTCTGTGAGAATATTAAAAGTTCTATAAAATTGTGAACATTTATGAAAGAAACAGAAGAACCTATTGATAATACCTATTAATTAAAAACAAATTAAGTTAATTTGATATACTGATTAAATCAAGTATTTGTAAGTCTGTAAGTATATTTTTAGTCTCACAGTTTATTCTATGTTAAACGCTTTCACAGATTGACTCTGCTTAACACTAATGGTTAACAGAATCTTTAACATACTAGGGACCAGCTGCCAGAGTGACCGTTCATACTTCTGTGAAAAGAAGCCATGGATAATGTGACGTCTCTATCCTACTACAAATATTGATTCAGGTAACTTGACTGTATCAATGCCCTGAACATGTAACAGGCAGAAGACAGCATCCCCGACCCCATAAAGTGTATATATTCTTGATCAGCATCAATAGCCGAGTCGCTCTAGCTATATTTGTCTATCTGTCCGTCCGTCTGATCTTAAGTATGAACGCAAGGATCTCACAACAAGTCTATCTGACATTTAAGTTCTTCACTTCCTATATGAATATAAATAACATTCCTCATTAGCAGTCAGGCAAGACATTATCATCACCCTGTCCTCAAATGGACACTTCTTGAACATTGTGCGCCCATCTCAAAAACTAGAAATATGAAATTTAGTTGGCAAGGCTTTTGTATAACACATGCAAATCATATTCAGTATAAATTATAATTCCACCTTCTATTGAATTACATTTTATTTTAATTTATATTGAATAGCAGTTCGTTTGCCAGCCCAGTTAAAGGAACATGAAAGGATTTATCAAGCACTAATTAGCTCAACCAGCCGAGTTTCGCCCGTTTGTGTTATTTTTCATGGAAATTTCTTGAATGGCAGGCGCGCCCTTTCAAGGGCAACGAGAAATTAAAATCTGCCAACGCATGCATGAAAATATTTTGCAAATTGAAGGCAACCACGGCGACGGGCACATTAACAACAACGCCGTTACTAAACAATAATCATAATTTGTGGTATTAACGGGACACCAGGATGGTAGGGTCCTTTTATCGTCGTCCTTGCCAGCGCTTTACGAGCGCTGATAAAGTGTCGCCGTGCAATTTATCTGAGCTGCGCGGGAGCTGGTTGCCCGAATAGCTCGGGGACCCAATCCAAACACAGAGCCAGAGCGACTCCACCTGTCACGGGGGAAAACACGTTCTGGTAATTTATGAGTCATACATTTGAGTTCTGCACTTTTATTTGGCCTCCGGTACGTTGGCACAACTCACGCGCGAATTTTATTTCCATTATTTGAACCAAACAAACCGCAAAAGTTTTTCGGTTGTGAATTTCTAAAAATAACACTGCGCTGCAGTTATGGGCATACCCCTAAAGGGAAAGGGGCGAGGGGAGACGATCAAGTTTTCATACAAAAGTTTGGCGTTCATGTGCTTTACAAATGTTTTGGCCAAATTATGTAGTTTATTCCCAATTGTTAAAGGGCAGGCAAACTTAATGCAAGGAACAGACATGATCGCAAAAAAGTGACCATGAATTAAACCAAATATAAGTAAAACATTCATCGCGATTAAAATTCGGCGTGGCGATACTCAGCAATAGATTTGATAAAGATATAATCTTATATTAATATTATTATTATTTTTATAAATCATTTTGTTATTCAGTATGATCCTATTATTTGAATTTAATATTTATGTACAATTTGGTTATTTTCTTAGTTAAAAAGCTTTCTTATCAAGGAAAGGATAATGGCAGAGATGGGAAAGTTTAAGACTATTTGTTTTTCAGAAGTGTTCACTTTTGAGAAATGTTAGCGATATTTACTAATATTCTAAGCTTCTTTAGCAATGAGTAGTGTTTACTGCCAAAAACTTAATATTTGCAAATTGGATAGTTTAGCTGATTCCTAGAGCTGCTGTTAAGATGCATATTATTATTTGTTTTCCCCTTGATATTATTTATAAAGCATCTCAAGATCTGAATAAACATCACACGGCCCCGAAAAGTAGGCAATGAATCTGTGCCCCTTTTTAATGATATATTTATGTTATGCTCTTAGCGCTGTCATAAAAGTATATTTATGCGGCGCTTATTAGATAACATAAACAGTGAAACATGGACTGTAACAATGCCCATTAGAGTAAAGATTGAGTTTTGAGTCAGCGCAATGTCGGCAACATTGCGGCTACTTAGCCAAGTTAAGTTCTGCACAAATTTGCCGAAGGACACAACAATTTGCAAGGCACTCGCACATAAGTGTACGCTGGCACAGAAGTCGTTAAAGGACATGTATAAAAATGCCCACATGTTTAGCGGAGTGTAATGTAGTGCAGTGTAGTGCGCATTTAAAAGTCATCTATTCCCAATACATGTATACATACATATAAATGTGAGGCAATATATATTTGCGAGACCATTAAACGCATTATTGGATTAGAATGCGAAGCAAAAATAGACAGAGAGAGAGGGAGGGGAGGGCAAGAGAGAGGGAAAGGCGACTGCGATAAGGATTTGCCACGAAGCACACAGTTGATAAATACAAAATAAAATAAATAATAATAAAGGTAGCAGAACGCAATACACAAAGAAACTCAGTCACACACAGTCATACACTCACACACGCACACACTCACACACACTGAAGAGCTTTGTAATATGAATGTATTTTCTTTTTGGGTATTTGTTGTATGTATTTGATATGTTTGGCTCTTACCTTCCTCCTCGACATCATCGTTGAGTTCTGTGATATCCGCCTTATCGCAGGAACGGTCGACGCCATTTGTTGCTGCGCTGCCTCCTTTGGAGTTCGCTGCCGACTTGGCATCGCCATTTGAGATAATTGAATTTGATTTTGCGTGATTTGTATGATTGTTTGAGGATTTCGCTGAACAGGAGCCACCTTCCGACAGCTCCATTTGTGGTGCACTCGGCTCCGGGTCCCCATTGCTGACGGCATCGATGGCGGCGCCGTCCTTTGTCTTCAGTTCCTGACTGGTGTTGCAGCCCATTATGTATTGGCTGAGACTCTGTTGCTCGGTCTCTGTGCTTTCAGTTGGCCTAGGTAACCAGGACCAGAACCAGGCAATCGCTGTTGTTTAATCAATTGCAGTAGCAACAACAAGAGTTAAATACCCACTCACACACACACACACACAAACACACTCACACACTCGCACACACACGACAGCACTTTTTTACGCAGACACACAGGGGCCTTAACTTTTTATGAACTTTGTTAGAGTTTGTTATGTGCACTTTGACTTTTGTTGGGCGAAACCTTTTTGTAAAAAAATCAGTTAGCAAAATATTTAGTTTTTTTTTTTTTTTTTTTTGGTAATTATTGATTTATTTTCCGTATTCAAAAGAACTACAAAAAGGTTCACAACCACGAAATTATCAGCCAGTTTCTCTTAAATTTGATGTATTTTTCAGTTAGCAGTTTTGAAAAGGAATAACGGAACTTGAAAAACTCTGAAGCTGACGCTAAATTTAACTGACTGACACTGGCACAGGCTCAGGCACAACTGACAAACGCAAGCGACGCGTCCACACTAAGACTGAATTGCGGCTATTATCCTGCAGGAGCAAGGCTCAACAGTCGACAACAGGAGTTTCGGCAGAGACACAGGCAGCGACGGCGGCAGCAGCAGCGACAGAAGCAGCGACGTCAATGTCTCCGTCAGCCGGCAGTCAACAACTAGCCAGAAGGAGACCCAGAAATCGAGCGGGTGAGCAAGGCAACGAGAACAAAAACCCAGCGAGCCAATGCGAGAGCACATTTCTTCTCATTTTATTGTCTGCACAGTGAAGCAGGGCTTCCAACAAATTTACTAATACCAAAACATTAAGTTTTAAACTATCAAACTGTATGAATTCCGAATTCTTTTTAATCCCCTAGATAGATAGAAGATATTTTAATTACTTTCAAAATAAAATTGCTTTAAGCATTAAGCATATACTACAAACTACAAACTAATTTCAAAAGAAACCAATCAAAATGATACCAGTGTGACAGTTAGGCAACCATCAAAAATGAGGAGAGAGAACAGCAACGAGAGAATGAGAGAGATTAAGAGTGAGAGAGAATATGCAAACTGAGAGCCATGACAATACAACAGCTGATGTGTGCTGGCGCTGCCGAGTTTTATTTCGCAAATAAACAAAGCGACTGGCCAGGCCGACAGACACACACACACACGCACACAAATGCACACACACACATGCAGAACAGGACCACAAAGCCGCACGAACAGCAGCAGAACCAGAAGAGCAGAAAAGGCAACAGCAGCCATTGCTGTGAAGTTGCCAAGGCAATGGCATCATCATCCACCGGTACGTTTGCACGCACCAAGTGGAATATATTTACACACACACACACACACACACACACACACGTACAATTCGGCGTACCTTTTGCCGTGTAGCGAGGCGTAAAGAGCTGCACAGTTGTATAAACCAAAAGCCAAATACAAAATTTGACCATAAAAATATCATTGAAAAATTCTTTTGCTATCTTGGCTTTCGGTTTGCCCTTAGCATATCTCATGTGCGTAAGCAGCTAACTAGTTTTGTTTTGTGCTTCTGTTATGTTTCTGCTTCTTTTTTGTTGGCGCTTCAAACAGGAAAATGGCTAAAAGTGGGTAGAATGGCTGACATATTAGACCCTAAGAAGTACTACAATCTTGATCTATCTATCCGTCTCTTCATTCGCGTGTCAGTCATAGGAACTATACAATCACAGATAACCACGTTTTTCTGAAATTGATAATTATAGCTTGTGTTTTGGGCATATTTTGGAAAGCATGTATGCTAGAGGTTCTAATGACAGCCAATTGTTTACATAGCTCAAACATATCACGAATATACATATATATTTTTAGATGCTGCCCGAAATTGTCCATAATTAAAGGAAACTGTAGCTTGGTCAATTTGTGCTAATAAAAGCTGAATAATGAATCTATGAATAATGTATTTATTATCTTTATTTTTTCATTAGAATAACAGTGCTGAAAAATATCGGACAATAAACACGCAAAACATTGTTGATTAGCAACGTTGGGAATAGAACAACTCGAATACGGGCTTGTTACCCGGGCTATGATAGGATAAATGCGGCTGTACATACATGCAGCTACAAGTACATAGTCAAGGGCAAATGGCCAGCAGTCCCCTTTATCGCACACACATACACACATACAAGCATAAAACAAACGCAGAGTCAGTCATGATAATAATATTTATGAAGGCATTTTGTTCCGTCGAAGGAGTACTCGGTATCCAAACTGTGTGCGTTTTGTGTAGGGTATTCTCTAATCGGGCACTCTCGATAAGAGCACTCTTGTTTTCTATTATACGTTTTCGACGCCTTTTTTTGTTTGGGTCCCATTTGGGAGTTTGTTTTGCGTGTGTGCGCGCATATATGTGTGTTTGTGTGTGTGTGTGTGTGTGTGTGAGTCACTCAGAAATGAATTGGTCTGCTCTTATTGCGTCCCACCCTCTCGCTCTCTGCCATTCCATTGCCAGCCACGGGACACAGGGTGTCGTTATCGTAAAGTCAAATGTTGGGCAAATGTGACTGCATATGTAAATGGTAAATTTGCCACTTCGAGTGACATTTGACTTCCGGCAGGACGAAACGTGTTGGCCTCCCTTTGTGGCGCACTTTTAGGCGTCAGCTGGCAAGGATCTAATCAAAACTGATAGCGCAAAGAACCTTCCCTTCCCGCATAAGCACAGAAATACACATATGCAAATGGGCCTACATATGCAATGTGTCTTCATATACATAGAAGACGGCGAATGGCCACAAATAACCCGGCCAAATCACCCTGTATGCCGGGGTAAATATTTAACAATTATGCAAAAATATTTCAGAGCTTGCAAAATGCCCGACACGCAAAAAAATTGTTACTAAATGCATTTCGGAATAGTCAATTTAAAATATTAAATGGGGCACATCATTTTTATTTTAATGGAAGAATTTTAAGCCCGTTGAGCATATTGCACGCTTTGCCAATGGAAGGCTTATCACAATGAAGCAGCATGTTTTAACTTTGGCCAGTTCAAAGTTTCTCTCTTATACAGCAAAATTTAAAGCTGATATTTTTAACTGAAGCTGCAAATTTAGATGGGGTTATAGAAAATTCTTCCGCAGTCGTGCAAAAATCGCGGAAAATGGTTACGTGAAACTTATTTTATTTACCATCCAATTCAGATTCTTGCCTACAGTTTTTATTCTCGGACAATCTAGTTATCCTTCCCGGAAATGCGGGTGCACAAATTTCCAGGACTCCGCATGAAAACTCATTTCAAATATATACTTTTATCAATGGCAGGAAATGGATGAATGCAAGTAACTTGGACCGGACAAAGCCGCGGAATATCAGCTAGATAATGTATACAAACATTTCAGCAAAACGCAAAGAGTTAAATATATCATTATGATTTCTACATTTGTGGCAAATTCTAGGTAAAAGGAACCCAAATCTTTCTATTTATTTTTTTTTTGTAACTTTTCTTCTTAAGACATTAGAAAACATTGCGCAAAAGCCTTTACTTATTCAACTTAATTATAATTGAGACGAGCTCTAATATGCTTCCAGTTTAACTCCTTTAGCAAAGTTGCTTCGCCCAAAACTATGCAACACAAAAGAGTTAAGTCTTAATTTAAGTCTCGGGTGACAACTGAAGCTCTTATCTGCTGTCGTAGTTGCATTTTGCCAGTCAGCAGCTGCAAGACAAGTAAGAAATATATTGGTGGATATGCTGTGCGACAAGATACCCTGTATTTCAAAGTTGAATAGAACTAAAGGTAACACGAATATAACTGATTTTTACTATTTCGTCAGAGCTCTTCAAAAATGTTGCTTACTTAAAAAAGTTACGTCATGCTAAAGTACAGAAATAGTAGAAGTTAAGAGCCATCGACTGCACTCGAGAGTCAGCCGAAAGGACATGCTTGTGCCGCGTGAACGGAAACGAATGCGTGAATTTGTACATTTCACTGCTCCCGCAGCACTTGTCTCCGTCCAAAGCCCAAGAAGCAAAGAGCACACCAACAGATTGCGGCGCTGATGTCGAGACACATTTAGGACTTAAGATAGCGACAAACATTTTGCCAGAGCTGCGCAGCCCTTGGGCGTGCGAAAATGCATGGCAAGTTTTCGCAAGGAATTTTCCCCCCACTTATTCACCGCTTCGTGCAGACAACGATTTTGGCATTCTCTCATTGTTGTGGAGAAAGACACGGGACATATGACAAATGCGCTGGCGACACATAAGCCCCTGCTGAGGTTGATAAAGTAACAGACAACGAGTTGCTGCCCCAAGAGCTACAGCTCACAGCCATAATTGGCGAAGAGGGGCTGCTTTAAATTTGCGCACCATTTGCCCGCCGAAATGCAAAGTCATTATTTCCTGGCAAAGGATAAAAATATACTCGATGCTTTGTTTCGGTCCCGGCATCCGATTTGAGCACATTTCGATTCTCTGCCTGCCGTTCGAAAGGAAGCGCCAGCACACAAAACGTGCCTGGCCAAATTACGTATACGCCGTGTTGCGAACTCTCGGCCTATGAACTGGCCCCCTCATTTGTATACGTTTGTGTGAGAGTGTGCCTGTGTGTGTGTGTGTGTGTGTGTGTGTGTGTGTGTGTGTGTGCGTGTGTTCTGCCGTCTCCCGGGACATTTGCCAAGTGGAAAGTTTTCGCGTCCTTTTTGTCTGAAGTTCAACGGTGCGCAACAACTTTTTGGGGGCTGCACAAATTGACAGCAGAGAGCAACAAATTCAACGTGCAAATTTATGTTTTAAAGCTCTCGCTTAAAGCGTTGTCGGAAGCCAAAACCCAGCTCCGCCAGGTTATTGCATGGGCAAACAAAGTCCACGCCCGAAGTCAGTTTGTGTTTGCTCAATCAAATCAAATTTTGGCCTTAAAACTTTCGTCAGCTCGGCAAACACTGAAGCGCAGTTTCTCTCAAGATTAATTTTGGCTTTATTCTGGAAACATTCTAGAACTGTTTTAACTACGGTTAGCCGGCAATAAAACAAAACTGCGACATTTCTTCTGACAGCCAAGTTCACAGACCCCGCCCCGTCACATTCTGTGCTTGATTTGTGTTGCCTTCGTTTGGCTACAGCGAAATTCGCTCCGAATAATTGAATTAACGCTGACATGATAAATGATCCATCTGTGAATAGTTTACCAAAACATGGCGCTTAGTATATTAGCGAATATTTTTTATCTGATCCAACTGGTCTCCTTTAGTTTAATAAATGAACCTTTTCGACCACTTCGCTTGTGGCATGGAAAAGGGAATGTGGATTGCCTTTTCATTTAAAGTATTTATATGCCCTTGTAGAGGGTATTATAAGTATTTATAGTATTGTTTGAACAGTCGAGTCGATAGAGATATGTCCAACTGCCTAGTCTTTAGTCTCTCATTTAAAAGCCGAGTCCGCTGCAGACAGTAAATATGTCAGAGCTAGCCAGATCGGTCCACTATATCATATAGTTTCCGATCAAAAGTTAGTTCTTTTAAGAAACCCTTCTTCGCAAAATGATATCTCCTGCATTGAGATTTGACCGAGTGATGGGGGTGAGAAATTTTGATCCATGTCTAAGCAGGGTATTTGCGGGTACCATTTGTACATGATTTTAGACCAAGAATAATGTTCCCAGATTTAGATGCCCAATTAATCTAGAGGCCAAACCATGAACAAAGAGCCAAGTCTCGTGAAAATCTGATGAGATTTCAGCGAGTTGTGGGTGTGAAAAATTTTGACTCAATGTCTATATGGGAAATTTGAAGAATATATTTACTCAACCCCTTAAATGGAAATAAAGTGTAGTTCACTTTCAAGCTGGAAAATGTTGTTGCCCGTGACAAATGTATATCTGATTTTTATCTATTTAATATAAAACTCATATGCTGCTTGTGGCAATATTTTAATTGACTTATTTAATATCTTTGATCTCTTTGATAACGTGGAGAATACATTTTTGTAAGCTTGCTTTTATTGTGGGCAACGTTTTGCTCATGTGGTTGTTGCCTCGTTGATGAGCACTCTCACATGTGTGCTTTTGGTAATTTTCTAGCTATTAGCTTAATTTAGGAGGCAGGCACACACCTGCACACACCTGCACACACCTACACACATGCACACACCCATAACTCGCACGTGTCCCGGAGTTGGCGTAATTGTTAATTAAAAAAGCGCTGAGGGCCCAACTTGTTTACACAACGACCACTCGGAGTTGGGGTCGGCCATGAAGCCCGTGACCAGGGCCAGTTGAAGGTGTTGAATAATAACATCAAGCTCCAAACTCGGACCTGGAAATATATTTGTGAGCGCCCCAATTTGAGCGGGCTTAGAGTCCGTCTCGTTGAAGGGAGTGCGGAGCCCGGCTTTTTTATTGGCATCGTAAAATTGTTTGGAAAATAAGTTTACGACATATATATAACTGGAATATTTTGCTGCTCCAATACATTTTTAATGCCCGCTGGGCGGGGGAATTCGGCGTCGAGCAGCTAAGTAATTGAGTGGCAAGGCCAGCGAAATGTGTAACAGTTTTTGATTGGATTGCAACATAAACACAGTCGAATCAGGACTCGAAGGGGAATATAAAAGGACACATATATATGGTATATGTGGGCGACGAAATGATATATGACAGAGGCGCAGAACTTGAATGTGTTATTCTTGGATTCGTTCAAACTTTGCGCAAGCTCTTGCGTTTTTCGGGTTAATTTAGATGACATTTCATATGCCAGCAAAAACGTCTGCACAAATCTCTGTCAACCTTGACCATTGCTCAAGAACGACGGCCATCAATCACATGGCTTCAAGGCACAAGCATCCATCAAAGCAGCTGTGCGAGCATCTTGGTGTAAGGAAACTAGCCGGAAAAGCGTGGCGCCCCAAAAAGTAGACTCGAAATGGCGTCCGTCTGGGCTGAACAGTCAACATGCCAGACATGTCAGCCAAATTGAAAAATCCCATTTAAATGCAAGTCGTTGCTCCACAAAGCTGATAGAAAAGAGTTCTGCCTGGGCTGGGAATGGGCACCTGCGTGACTGCACGTAACCAGGAGCTCGAGAGCTGGCAACTGGGAGCTGGGAACTGGGAGCTGGCAGCTGAGAGCTGGCGGCAACTGTTAGAGTTGCAATTGTCTGGCTGGCTGGCAGTTCGTGCGCCTAAATGTATGCTATTGTCAGGGCACATGGCAATACAAGTACATTCACTTAGTGCAATGAGCAAAACCAACCAAAAACCAGGCATATGACAGGCAAATGACACAAGCACACACACACACACACACGGACACACATGGATACATACAGGCACAAGCACGTAATGCAAATAGTCCGTGCTGCCGGCTGTGGCGTGTGTCTCGCTCAGGTAACCCCTTTCAATAGCCATGTGTGAGGTGAGCCTGGCTGCAGTCGAGTAATTGAACGGGCGTGTGTGCATGTGTGTGTGTGTGTGTGTGTGCAACTCTTAAATGTGATTTTAAAGTCAACATTGAGCCCTTTTGACATACGAACTGCCAGTTTTGGTTTGCCGCTTGTCTCGGGTTAGCTCCGTGTCCATGTCCATGTCCGTGTCCGTGTCCGTGTCAGTGTCCGTATCCGGCTGTGATAATGGTCATGTGTGTACAATATGATATGATGCCACCCATTTGCCGTTAAACCCTTAACCATCTATTGTTATGATCTGCTCACATTGCTGGTTAATATTGTTGGCTTGGCATGCAGCCAGAGCCAGGCGCCAGCCATCGACAGGCGGACATGTTCTATAGCCCAGGATGTGGACGGGAATGAGTATTAGCATTGGATATGACTGCAGGCAATGAGAGTCATTCCAAAAGGGCACGAACTCCAACTTGGAGTGCTTTTAGTCTTTCAAAGCATTGAGAAAATTAATATTCTATTATAAGCCAAAAACTTGAGCATAGAACAAAGCTTGCATTTAATAGTTGATAGAATATTTTAATTTACATTTTCAACCTAACAAAGTTCAATTAAGTCAAAAAGAGCTGAAATCAATCTCAGCTGGAGACTTTTTTCAACATTTACTTTGTCGCTTTCAAGAGAAGAAAATATAATTTGTAAAGGTTTTTTGATTATTGTAAAATTTGTATAAATTTAAAAGCTGCACAAAGGGATTTTAAGTAAACATACATTTTATTTTTAGGGTTGGGCTATATAACCATATAACTTTCATAAATTTCAACCAACTGGCTTAAATTAGAATCTTCTAGTGGAAGTCAAGGACTCCACTTTTAATTACGTTGTTTTTCACACCTAAACGGGTGAAAGTGCTATAGGAAAACGCTATGGAAGAAGGCAGAAACTAATGGTGGACACAACCAAGAGCTTCTCTCTTAACACTTAACAAAAAAACTTCAAATAACTCATCTCAATAGATCTTAAATGATATATACAAAACTCCGCTGGAAGTTATACAAAAAAAAGTATGAAGTTTTCCTAACATCGAAACTGGTGACGCATTTGCCCAGGTGTGGGAAGCTACTCAGTTAAGGCTAGAAATTGCCATGCTTTTGCTATTTGCGAGTATGTTTGCACTTTGGAGCGATGGGCAACTGTGCGCTGGTCAATGATATAAACGAAACGATAATTTCCGTTCGTTTTGGTGTTGGTTTCCTCGCTTTCGTTTGGCTGCGGCAGCAAAGTGCCCACTGACATGCAAATTTCCATTTAGTGGAAAAGCTTTTTGGCCGCACGAATATGACATGGGCGGGCAACAGTTGAAAGTGCTGCTGCAGATGGGTAAATAGGAACCCTTACATTTGTGCTAGTTTTCAAAACGTGCCACAACAGTTAATTGAGCAGCAACTGCTTAACAACGTATTCCATCTTTTACTACTTTAGCTTAAAGTTCTACTTATCTATATACAAGCTATGTTTACCTATGTACAATATAGATCTGAACTAGAAGGGGCTGCATCTACTGTTAAGGTTAGCTGTTGAAAGGTCCAGGCAACTGCCCAGCGTGTGGTATGTCCCTGATGAAACTCCGTGGTGGACACATTGCTTATTTGGCGTTGATGTAAATAGTCCAATATCTTTGGCACGTTGGCCTTTACGCCCAGCATGCTGGTAAAAATGCTGCAAAAGGGAAAGCGTATTATAGATGTTTTTTTATAGGGTGCAGTTGCACTTACAGCACGCGCTCCTTGTGCAACTCGCTCTCCTCGACAATGCGCTGCACGAATTGCACCTCGCCGCCAGCACAGGTTAGCTCTTCGGCACTGCCGGTGCGCACATTGTTGGGCGCCGGACGACGCTGCGGATTGCGTGTGTTGCCGCCAAACGGATTCTCTGCATTCGAGTCGAAGAACGGCGGATTGCAGAGGCAGAAGTGAAAGCCCTCCTTGGGCAACATGCTGGCGGTCTCGAAATAGCTCTTGAAAATGTTATCCTTGTCCGGCTGGGCATAGACCTCCACCAGCTGCTCCAGATTATTGCGCTTCACATTCTCGCGGGCATACTCAATGTTGGTTTGCTTCGACTCCAGGGCCAGCATGTGCCATTGATTCTTTTTGGCTGCCAGCAGCGAGTAAATGCACGAGGAGCCGCAGCCTGCAACGAATACAGTTCAGTAACAAGCCTCTTGAATGTAGGGCAGCAACTTGCCAATGTCGATGCCACGCACTGCGTCCAATTTGAGAGGCGCCAGCAAATCCTCTAGCCATAAAATGTAGTTCAGGCGCAGCGCCAAAGTGGGCACCAGGCTGCCCGGCGCGAAGTCCACGTGTAGACCAAAATATTCAAGCAGCAGCATTTTGGTTAACTCACGCAGTGTTCGTTCATTGCGGAAGTTAAGCGATACCCTGCCATTGAGCTCCTGCAAGGGATAATAGAATATAATCGTAATAATAATTGTGAAGTTCACAACTCACCAACTCGCACACTTGTCGAAAGTCCTTGTGCTTGATGGCCAATTTCGTGTAGTCCGGCGCAGTGCGCAGCACATTGCGCGGATGCATAACAGACTTTTTATTGTTATTCTTAACCATTTTATTTAACAAAACAAGAATATGTACAATAAAACTTTTGAATTGAATTTAATGCAATTAGTGTGACCGTTTCTTAGCCGGCGAACGAGCACCTCAAAAAATACTGACCAAAAAGTACTGTAGTTGGGCACACTGTTGATAGTGTCGCTGTTAATTAACATCGATCTGTTATAGAAAAGTTATCGAATTGCAATAACAATATTTCACAAGCCGCAGTCGTTTGCAAGTTTTTATTAATTTAATTGAGCAAAAATGTCGGAAACCAGTTCCAAGGAAAACGTCAAGACCGCAATGACATACATTTGTGGCGGTAAGTAAACAAACGAGCCCAAGTTCAGCTAAGAGAAGCATCAGCACGCTGCCGCATCGACGCGCACATGGCTGCGCCTTTAACAAACATTTACGTTTATTAATGCAGAATTCGCAATACTCTATTTAAACAGAATGCCATCACGAGAACGAGATGCGTCCGCGTGATCCCATACGTTGCCGCGAGTGTGGCTACCGTATCATGTACAAGAAGCGCACCAAGCGTCGTAAGTACCGAATCTCTGGGATGCCAGTGCTTCCCAAACTGTATGCGCCGCTTAACATTTCGATTTTTGTTGCTTGCAGTTGTCGTTTTTGATGCACGTTAAAGTTATCTGGACCGCAATTAACCGGGATTAAGAACTATTTCTGGAGTTTAGCTTGTAATTGAAGAATATATTTTAATAAATCTAAGAGACTAGAGAAGATTGGAGAATTCGATTTGATATAAACTAAGATAAAAATATGATTGTAAGCTTTCAGAGTCTATCAGGATATGCTCCTTTTGGGCAACTCCAGGCAGACTTTTTAATATGAAGAAATATCTTAAAACGTTTTCCCATAGTTTGATATTTTGATCGAAGTCATTTGATAAGAAATCAAGGCCCCAAATGTCACGGGTCTTACATTAATTAACTACTTTTAGTTTAGGTTAATTGTCTCCGCGTACTTTTCTTTGCGAATATGTTCTTCATATATTGCTCGGGATATGGATTATACTTATTTCGAAACTTATATGTATATAGCTCCGAAGTGATAGACCCAGTGTTTATATTGTCTTTGGTTTGATTCACTGTCTAAATCAACTTCCTGTTTGAGGGTTCGGTTCGTAAAGTTGGTTTTCAACATTCTTTCCAGGCTTTGGTTCAAACTCTAATTCTTATAATGCCTAGAACAATATTAAATTAATAAATTATGCTTGCAATATTGCATATTTTATATTGGAACTGGATCTTTATCCGAAACTGGAACCAAACTTTGAGACTGGGTCTTTCTCAAAAATTGTTAAGCTTATATCAAATTCATTTTTGTGGACCTAGAATCTCGACTTTATCTATCAAGAATATATAATATATATATATATATATATACATATATATATAGTTCGCAAAAATAAAACAATTTAATTTCTATTTTTTAAACTAATTTACTTTTATTTGAATGTTTTTGGAAATATAATTTGTAAACTAAAAACACTTATATTTGTCTTTTTTTTTCATTTTTTTATTACTCATTTATTTTTTATTTTTTTTTTTTTTTGCAACTGGTGCTTAAATAAAATGTAAAGTAATTTGTTCTTTTGTTTTGTTTTTTGTTTTTGTTTTTACTCATAAATGTCTTTTTTCGTCTCAAAAATTTTGTCTAAATGGCTTTTGTCATCCAAAAATTTACTTTACTTAAGAATTCTTGTTGGTTTCTATATTTGTATTTATTTTGTTTTTGTTTTTAGTTTATCGTTTGGTGTAATTAATTTACGTTTAAGTTAACCACATTTAGCAAAAACACACATTTTACACTAGAAATTGTTTATAGCATTTATTTGTTTTATTTATTTGTATCTTTCTTAATATTTCCCCGACACTTTTCAGTCAAATATTTTCTTGTTCAGTGTGTGGTAAAAAGTTAATACATATTCCGTATATATGTATATATATATATATATATGTATATATATATCGTATTTTCTTTGAGTATTTTGTATTGTTCTTTTGTTTGTTTTCATTGATAAAATCATAAATACAACTACACGTACGTTAATATTGTTGTTTTGTTGTTTTTTTTTTGTTTTTTTATCAGTTGCATTATTTATATAAACTATTTGCCATATGCAGAACGCTTGTGAGTGTGTGGGCGTTGTGGGCATTGTGGGCGTGGCTGTTGCTCAAAACTAAAACTAGAACTAAATAAATGTACACAATATGCAATGTTCATGTTGTTTAAAGCTTAATTTAAAAAATAAGGCAAAAGGGTATTTGAGGTTTGCATTCATGTTGTATAAATTAAATATATATATATGTATATGTATGTGTATGTGTATGTGTGTGTGTGTGTGTAGAGAATACAACTTAAACAACTAGAAAATAACATTCGCGCTATGTTGAAAATGGCAAAAATTATACTCGTATTAAGTAACTAAATGCTGATGTTTTTTAATGGCAAATTAAAGCTATTTTGCTTCACAAATGATTTTGCAACGAAACTCAAGACATTTGATAAATGCTCATCGAATATCTCTGCCTAGATTCTATTAAGTGTGTGCTTTATAAATATTTAAGTTTAAGGGTTTTTTTTGTCGTTTTTTAACACTAGAACGTGAGTGTGCCTGTGTATGTGTGTGTGTGTCTTTTACATAACCTCAATTATACAATTAATATAATGGGAAATTTATCGAAATGTGGGCGCTGCTTTCTACATTATTGTTTATGAATGATTTTCGTTCTTTTATCTTTGTTTTTTCTTATTTTTCTTTTTTGTTTTCTTTTCATTTTTTGTTTTTTGTTTTTTTTTTTTTGTAAAGAGAAATCATATTTCAGGTACATCACAACTTAAAATTTAACAAATAAATGCAAATTTTTAATGAATTTTCAATGTTACGCCTAATGCATAATAAATGTATATGGCAAGCAAAACATTTGCTAAAATAAATGAGAGAGTGTGTTTTCTCAACGAGAGAGAGAGAGATTGAGAGTGAGAGAGAGCTTAAAGTTTGTGTACGCTTTACAGTTTGGCATGCCTAAGCCGGCGATGCAGCTGTAAACTGTAGCGCCGCTCAAACCGTGCGCTGCACTGCCTACAATCGCGCGACGCGACCTTCAAAGCTCGATGCTTCCAAAACCGATGCAGCGCCAGAGAGCCTAGCGTGTGGTAGTTGAAGCTTATGCCGCCGCCATTGCGCCGACGGTTGGCCGTGCAGCTGGCGCAGCCCAATCTCTGATGCACCAGCTTATTGAGATGCTTGTCCCGCAGCATGGCTACGACCACCTCGGGGGCGAGACGTATTTTCTTTGGCTGCGACTGTTTACGTGAGCTGCGCGCCGTCTCTGCCTCTGACTTTTTGCTGAAGTCCAGCGGTGCCGTTAAATATTCTTGCTTGCTAGCTGCATCGGCCAGCAGGGGCAGCAGCGTTGCCAGCTGATTCAAGGACTTGCGCGAGGCGTTAGCAGCGCTGCTGCTGGCGTTGCTGTTGCTATTGATGTTGTTGGTAATGCTACTGTTGTTGAGGGCATGTTGATTTACTGCTGGTACTTTCTTGGGACTTTTGCGCGGTGCTGCCAGATCCAGCTGACGTTTGAGCAGCGACTGCGGCTGTGAAGCCGGCGCTGCTGTTGACTTTAACGGCGCACTGTTACTGCTGCTGCCGCTGCTGCTGTTAGGCACCTTGGGCGTTATGGTCAGCGTGATGTCCTCCTTGTTGCGCAGATACTCTATGTACTCCTCGGTCTCGCTCAGCAGGCGTCGCCGCTTGCTGGGCGACAACGTTTGCTCACGTTCACGCTCTCGCTCCCGCTGCTGACCTGTTGTCGTCGCTGTAGGCAGCGCTGCTGCGGCAGCAGCCAGCATTAGGGGCGTCTCAGCTGCATAGTATTTGTTAATAATATCCTTAACATAATTCTGAAATTGTGTTCCAATGCGATTGAGATTCTGATATTCCATTTGTGTGAGAAAGGGTGTGTTGTTATTATTGTTGTTGTTGCTGCTGCTGTTTGGTGTTACTGTTACTGCAGCCACTGCCGCAGCAGCAACAGCAGTTGCTGCCGCCGTCGCTGCTGCGGCTGCCGCTGCTGTTGCCTCAGTGCTGCTGGTGTTGTTCTCTTTATCATCTTGACGATGAAGCACGGCATTTCTGTAAGATTTCTCTTTGAAATAGCTGTTGTTGCTGCTGTTGTTATTATTATTATTATTGTTATGGTTGTTGTTGTTTAGTTTATACGCGGGAGACGATTTAATAAGCTGCACTCGCTGCTGCTGCTGCTGTTGTTGTTGTTGTTGTTGATTCTCTTGATCTTCGTCATACTCAATTTTGAGCTTTCGCTTGCTGGCGAGCAGCTCGATGGCCGTTTGCTCGTAGGCTGCTGCCTCCAGAAATGCCGTTGCCATCAACGCCTTGTTGTTCTGCTCTTTGTGCTCGCTCTCATCAGAAGCTCGCAGGCTTTTACCGTTGCTGTTGGCATGACGTGACAGTTTCATTGGTGAGGTTGCGCCCGACATGTTGTACTCATCGCCCGAGTACGAGGATGACGATGCCGACGAGGGCGTATTCTCATCATCCTCTCCCGTCGAGTGTTGCCTGGCACGCATCACGCCAAACTTTTGACGCTGTGCAATATTGCCGCCGCTGCCGGCGCCGCTGCTGCTGCTGTTGATGTTGCTGCTGCTGTTGGTGTTGCCGCTGTGATGGCCGCCCATGCTGCTCAGGCTGTGCAGTAGCGCAGCAGCCTCTCGTGTCGTCCATTGCGAAGGCAGTTTATTATTGAACAGGAGTTGATGATTAGCTGGTATTTTCAACTCGTGCACGCCTCCCGCTTTATGAAAATCCTGAGCGACCGAAGCTGTGTTGCGACTAATGGCGTCCATTTTTAGCAGACTGTAAGGGTGACAAAAAAAGACACACATGTGATCAGATTGGGTCTTATTATAAGAGAATGGTAAAACAAAAGATAATGAGTAAAAATGTGAACCATAATAAACACAAAGTTTTACACTGGTGGCCATCAAATTTGAACGCAACAAAACAAACCGAAAACAATTATGAATTTTGGCAACAGCGCATGATAAAGCTAAATTTAAATATAAATCCAACCTTTAGCTTTACGATACATTTCAATATATGTATAACGACAGAAGCATTGGAATAAATGATGAAGTTTGGCAACAACGCATAAAGAAGAGCAAACATCAAGTTTGCAATTATAATTTAATTTTATGAAATTATAAAATGTAAATCATAAGAACAGCACAAATCAAAAAAAAAACAGAATGATGAAATTTGACAACAACGCAGGGGAATATAAAATTCGCTCTTATTTCAAAAACATTTAGTGGAATAGGAATTACGGAGATGGAAGCAATATATACTTGTAAAATTAATATATATCGAAAAAAAAAAACCAAAAATGATTTCATTCAATCAATAAATATTTGTGTAAAATAATTCAAATAAATAGTTAAACGGTGAACTTTGGCAACAATGTAATTGTAAAAATACCAGCAAATGCAACAAAGTTTCAACAAAAATGTGAAAACTGTCAACAATGCACAGGACAATACAAATGAAAAAGTGAACAAAAGCAAAGGACAACACCAAGTTAACATTGACGACAACTGATGACAACTGTGTTGGCAAATACCGCGCATAGTCCTCCGGATCGCTGCCCTCGGCTTCGAGGTATTGAAATAAACGCTCCGAGCCGCGTTTCTGTGTGGCCGCATTCGGCAGGCTGCCGGTAAGCAGATCATGCGGCGGTATCAGAGACCCATTGGCACTGAGACGCCAGCCCACCATCGACGTGGGATTCACAATGATCTCCTGCAAGGGGCCGCCCGTGATGTTGCCGCCGCCGCCACCGCCGCTGCCGCCGCCGCCTCCAGTCACACCCTCATTGGTGGTGGTGGTATAGATGGTAACGGCGCCACTGCCGCTCACATTGCCAACGGTTTGGCCACCGCCGCCCGACGAGCTGCAGCACGTTAAGTGTAGATCGTTGAGGTGGGGGGCGCGGAGCGGTAAGTGTGGTAAGCGTGGATCATAGTGGGGGCGAGAACGAGTTGAGAGAACAAGAACGAGGGTAGTAACAAGAGTTAGGAGCATTCTGCGCGCTTGCAGTGGGGGTAGGGGAAGGCGGTCTGAGAACGTTACCCAAAAGCATTGCCGGCATTGTGGAACGTGTTCAGCTGATTGTTGGCCACCAGCGTGTTGCCAATCGTTCGCAAGACATTCAAGTTCTGGCTATGTGTTGCATTGTTGCTGCCATTGTTGTTGCCGTTGTTGTTGCTGTTGCCGCCGCCGCTGTTGTTGTTGCTGCTGCTGCTGCGCGCCGGACGATTATCGTGCGGACTGCGTAAGGTTCAAACAGAAACAAGTCGGAGTTCAGCAAAGAGACGAGAGATTAACGATTTGTTGAATTATGAATCAAAGAGGACATATTATCTATCTCTAAGCTTTATCGAAAATCTATCAGATGATGTGATATCTTAATGTGTTCCATTTGGAATGTTTCCGACTTCGACCTAACCTTTTAAGTCCACTATACCATTCTATAATCAATAGATCGCATTTACAGATACACATGCTATCGTATCCTAATTTCGATTTAGTTTGTGTAACTATTTCTGTTAGTTAATTTACAATTCAATTTTATACGTCTTAAATAATCCTATCATATGATATCTTAATTTTATAGAGATTGCATATGATAGAAATATTTCAGATGTATAAATAATAGAATATTTATCTTAATATACTAGATACTGAAGTACTACAAACAAAGCTGTATCTAATTATTGTAAAAGCTTCAAAAGGATACTTGGATCGACCTGAATCAAATATCTTTCGTCACAATTCCTAATTGGGATTGGGTTACAGATTAACTTTTAACTTTTACTATTTGGTTCTCTAGTCCGCAGTTCTAATTTCTGTCATATCTTCTTTATCCGGATCCGGATCAGTATCGGCACCTACATTTCGATTTCCTTTACAACTCTTTTATAAAGATAAAGAGGCAAGAATGGAACTAAGTATTATCGCACTAAATCACACTCTTCATAAGAAAGTGCTTCATCTCTTCTAAGGAAACATTTTCTTAGGCACATTTGTCATTCCATCATATCATATGATGATAAAGACTTGACTATTGGAATTTCTTCCAGGATTCAAGAGAGAGAGAAAGGGAGAAGGAGAGATCGTTACTTACTGCACATCACTCATGTGGGCCTGGAACTCCTCCTGCGTGTCAGCCAGATAGGAGCACTTGCTGCAGGCTCGCTTGTTGTGCACCTTGAGCACGTGGGTGGCGAGGCGCTCCGAGCGCGCCGCCTTGTAGTCGCAGAGCAGGCAGACGAATGGCTTTGTGTGGGTGTTGAGATGACGCTTGAGACCCCACTTGTCGGCGCCCGACCAGGGGCAATAGCAGCAGGTGAAGCGCTTCTCGCGCTTGGGCTTCAGCAGGCCAGAGCCGGCGGCGCTGCTGCTGCCGGAGCCGGAACTGGAGCTGGCCACCGGCTGCTGGGCGCTGTTCATGACGGCGCCCACATGCAGCGGCAGCACAGAGCCATCGTCCAGTTTCTCCTGCTTGAGCTGGGCCAGCGGCATGTCGGCGGCGGATGCCACCGCCTCGATGGTCTCCACAATGCTCATGCTGGTCGAGGTGGGATGTCGCTGTGCCTCCAGGAACGCATTGTCAATGTTAACGCCCGTTGCATTGATCGTCACATTGCCGCGTCCGCCGGCATGATGCGCACTGCCGCCGGATCCGCCGCCGGAGCCACTGCCGGCGGGCACATGGCGTCGCGTCTTGTTGATGTCGTACTGCAGCTCGCGATGCATGCGCAGAAAGTGCTTCTTGACGTGATCGGCGCGATTGAACTGCTTGAGGCAGGCATAGCACTGAAAGGGCTTCTCGTCCTTATGGATGTTCTCGTGCCGTGTATACAGATCCCGGCGATCCGTTGAGTACGGGCAATGGGTGCACGCATAGCGCTTGACTATGTGCACACCATTGGCAGCTGCCGCGGCGGCGGCTGCCTGTGCTTGGGAGGATTTCTTGCGGCTGCCGCCGGACGAGTTGCTGCCGCCGCCGCTGCTGCTGCTCGAATTGGTGGGCGCTGAGGTGGGCGTGGACTGGGCCAAGTTCTGTGCCGCATTGGCCGATGTCGAGGGGCTGGCATAAATCAGCTCTGCCGCGTGCTCCTGACGATGTTTTCTATTGCAAAACCAAACATTTTTTTTATATTTCGAATTCTATTCATATATGCCATTCGATAGCTACTCACTTGGACTTGGGCGTGCTCTGATGCTGCTGCTGTTGCTGCTGCTGCTGTTGTTGTTGCTGCTGCTGTTGCTGCTGCTGCTGACTGACGTGCGCATAGCTCTGCAGCTTGCCGCCCGTGGTCCACTGGACCAGCTGCGGCTGCTGCTGCTCGGCTGCGGCGGTTTCCTGCGCCCAGCGCTGCTGCTGCTCGCCGGCCTTCAGCAGGCCCGCCTGGCCGGCTGCAAAGCCGTTCTGCATGAGCGCTGCCAGGCCGAAGGCTGTGCTCAGATGATCCTCGGACTTGAAGCTGCCCACGGCGGCGACGCTGGGCGCCGGCACCACAGAGGAGCCGCTGCCGCTCGCGCTGACCACCACAGAGTTGCCCGACTCTGATTGTTGTTGCTGCTGCTGCTGTTGCTGTTGTTGTTGTTGTTGTTGTTGGATTACATTGGCCTGGGTTGTGGCCACGTTGTTGCCGCTGCCACCGCCCGCAGCACCACTTGCTTCGTATTCAATGCTGGGCGCTGCGGTGCGATCGATTTGTTGCTGTGCAAATAATCGATCAAAAAGTAAATAAATATGTTGCATTTGTTGTATGTGTTTGCAAGCTGATATTTATCGGATAACATTTATTTCGGGTCTTAAAACCAATTGTTGAGTAGTTCTTTGAACAACTTTGCAATCCATTCGAAGGAAATTCGAATATTTATTGATATCGTTCGATTTTTGTATAGATTATGATTATGATTTAAAGCATAATATCTTTACAAACTTATTGGTGAACGCAAACATTTATATATAATATTAATATTTAAAATATTCTTCATTTTTATATTTATATGATATTCATACTTAAAACAATTTATCTAATTAAAAACTCATTATTTAAATTCAAGAGAAACATGACTTTGTTTTACTTATATTATTATTTATTTTGAATCAATTTGATAAATTTTTGTAAAATCACAGCTAAATAATAATCAACTCACTTTTAATCGCTTTGAACCACTGTAAGCCACTTGAATTGATATCTGTATAGATATGCATTAACTAATTGCTGATAATAAACTAAAATGTATTCATTCGAAGCAATATGACGATTTAACTATTAAGTATTTAATCGCAATTTAATAAATGTATTCGAATAGGTTTCACTCAAAAGTGAATCACTGTCAACTATTCAACTACTCAAAATTGATTCATTGATTATTCCGAAATAATACAAAATTGTTTTCAGCTTGATTTTAGGAGCTAGGTTGCCTAATGAGTTTATCATTCGCTCATTCGTTCAATTTATTGATGGACTTACCAAATTCGTAAACGAGCGCTGCTCGCCCTCGGGCACCGCAGTGGGTCCGCTGGTGGCCACCTGAGCCACCGGAGTGCCGAGCGTGTGCAAACCGTTGCCGGTCTCCTCGCCGTATAGTTTGCGTGTGATTTCCTTGAACATATCTTCATATGTGGCCTCAACATGTGAGGACTGTGCGCTCGCTGAGTTGCATCCTGCCGCTGGGATTAGTGTTGCCATTGCTGCGAATGTTTGGCCTTGGCTTGCGGGCGCGTTGCTCCAAAATTGCAGCGACTGCTTCTCTCGCTGATGCCTCCACGTATGCGCTTCGAAAACTGCAATCGAAACGGACAGAATGTGTCAGAGTGAGCGAGATAGAGAGAGAGAAAGAGAGAGAGAGAGAGAGAGCGAGAGAGAGTGTATTCTAAGTTAGCCAGTGTGTCTAAGCTAGACGCACATTCACATCCGGCACACAAAATACCCAAATCGACGTCAGTTCTGGGAATTGGCTGTTGACACACCGCGAACCTGCCTGCCTTGGGCCCAGCGCTAGCAATGGGGGAAGGACGAGCGGGGGTTTTCGACTGCGGCCGCTGCTGACGTCTTTTGCGCAGCATCAGCTGAGTCAGCGCAGGCGCAAGCAGCGTTGTTTACGACTTTTTTATTCACCACTTGTTTGACTGGCGACAAGCGTGTCGAAAATGGTTTTATATATGAGTGCAATTTTGTAAATGCGATAAATTGGGATAAATCATAAAAATATTAGATATTTCATAAAAATGATTGTAATGTACATATAAGCTTTTTGTTTTCTGCTGCTTATCAAAAACGTTTTCGACACTTTTGTAGCCTGCCAATTCAGCTTGAGCACGAATCGTGTGTGTTGTGCTGCATGCATTAATAAAATTACGACGACAACAACTTCAGAAGCAACAACAACAACATGCCAGATACAAAATACCCCATTGAGAAGGCAACGCGCCCAAAATCTTTGCAACCTGGACGACTCCTAAGCGCATCTCATAAAAATGCAATACAAATTGCCAGCAACAACACAAACTGTTGGCGGTTGTAATTTTGGCGGCACTTTTGTTGTTTTTGGTGAGTGGTTTCTTGTTGCTGTTGTAGTTGTTGTTGTTGCTGTTGTTGGCCCACATGTTGCTGGTGGCTGCGCCTCATTTTTCAAGTAAGATGCTGACACACAACAACAACAACAGCAACCACACGCAAAACATTTGTGGGGCGACAAAATTGTTGTTGTTGTTGTTGTTGTTGTTGGTTTTCGTTATGGGCATGGGACATGGGCACGTTTCGATGGCCCAGAGCCAACACAGACGGAGCCACCCACCCACGCCTAGGCCCAGGCCCATGCCGAACATGGGCGAGGGGCCGACCCGTTGGGGAGTGGTGTGTGTGTGTGTCTGTGTATGTGTATGTAAGGAATGGAAGAATTGTTGGCGTTTGTATATGTGACCGTACCGAAGCGTGTTTTCTTTCGTTTCTTTTGGGCTCATATTTCGTATGGGTATTTTTGTTGTTGACTTTTTTTTTGCATATTTGATTTTATGCTTCGTGTGCTTTTTACAGTTGTTGCCCACACTTTGCGCCATTGGGGGCGTTTGTGTCTTCTTCTTCTTCTTTTTGCTTATTTCATTCGTTTCTTTGCTTTGCTTTGCTTTTGCTTTTGGCGGCTGCGACTTTAGTTTGTTGGGCATGTCCGCGCCTGCGGATCTCAGCGCCCTACCCCTCCCCACCCACTCTCTTTGATTGACTCGCTGCGTGTGGTTTTTCAAGCCAAGGGCATTGTTATTGTTGTTGTTGTTGTTGTTGTTATTGTTGGGTGGGACTTGACTTTGTCTCAGCTCAAGATCAACGTAACTAAAACGACGCACATACCAACATATGTGCATGAGTGTGTATATATGCATGTGTGTACATGCATACACACATACATACATACATATGTATGTATGTACATCATAAGCGATTGAACTCTATTCATTTTAAGGATACTCTTGCCTACATTTATATAACTGTATTATCGTTTTTGCCTTATAAACTCTTTAAATTGCAAGTTTTCAAATTGCTTGCAAACTATATACATATATTTTTAAAAGTTCCCGAAAGCTCAGTCCGATAAGGAAGGGCCAATGATGGGGTCAACTTTTGTGGGCGAGCGATAGACTCACAACAACAACAAAAAAATGTCATGCGTTGCCAGCAACAACAACAACAACAGCAACAACAGCAACAACAACGTGTGTGGGTGCTTGGTTGGGGCCAGGCACAGCAACAACAACAACATCCGCTTTGCTAATAGCAGGCAGCAAAAAAAACAAAAAACAGAAAAAACCCAGAGACAGAAAACGACGCCGTCGAACGGGCGCGTCAGCGAGTGGGCTGAAAATGGGCGCAACAGTCGTCGCCGCTAGCAGCAGCAGCAGCAACAACAACAAAATCAATTTACAACAACTCTAACACGCGCACCATCAAGAACGAATACAACGATCCGTCGCCGTCAGCGTCGCCGCCTATGGTGGGTGTGCAAAAACCGACATCAGCTTTGGCAGCCACAGCAGCAGCAGCAGCGCTGCCGCCGCCGCAATGACAGCGCGATTTGGGGGAGTCAACGAGAGTGAAAGAGCGGGCGAGAGCCCCAGAGAGCACAAACCGGTTGGCAGCTGAACATAAAAATGCCGGTTGGAGAGCTTTTGCTTTAGAAATAATTGAGTGAGAGCAAAACAGCGCAAAGAGAGTAAAAGCATGACAGGGCGCACGTCTTCCGATCGTCGCTCTTTTTGTCCAGCTGTCGGCTGGTGTCTTTCGTTTTGCAGATGCCGCCGGACGATTGACTGTTAACGGTAAACGCATTATTGGGTGGCTTCTCTTCAAATATGGCAGCAGCTCCAATTGCTGTTGCTGTTTGTTGTTTTTTTCCTTCTTTTTTCGCTGATAATATTCGTCAGAATTGCGTTGCGTGTGCTACATACATATGTATGTGTTGTATGTGTATTTGTATGCTACCCGTTAGGGGGCGGGCGTCAAAGCGCTAAATTGCCATGTGGAGAAGCAAAGTCATAGTTTTGACTGTGTGTCTGCGTGCGCAGTTAAATATATGTATGTATTAAAGTACATATATATATACATAGACATTTTAACACCCGTGGGCCGAGCCGACCCGATGGCAGCTCAGGGTGAGCCACAACATTACTAAAAGCTGTTGTTGTTGCGGTGAACGGTGAAAGGCCGAGACACGAGACGAGGGGAGTGGAGTGGGATGGAGATGAGAGGGGGGCGGCAACAGAGAACGAGCAATGGGCAATGGACAACGGGCTGCACACGGCTCACAGGCACCACAGCAGCTAATGACATGTTAACGCCAAGCAGCAGCCGTCTGTCGTTTCCAAAGCCACACGCAGTTATTAAAAAGCGCTTTTGCTTGATGGTGTGCACAGTGGGGCCAGCTAATTGTTAGGGCGGCGCCTTGCCAAATGTAACTAATCGACTAAATTGAAAAGCACATGCAATGTGTGCAAGCTAAACATATTTAATAACATATTAAACATTTGACTAAAAATGTTTCAGTGAAGAACAAGTAGCATTATTGTTAAAATCGGGAAACAGGTGGAAATGTATGCAATTTGCAACTTGGCAAAAGGGAAAGTCGGCCAATGCTCGATTATAACATAATAACATATGCATTTACAAGATTTGAATGAGCCAACACTAAATGAAGTTCATTATTTAAAGTTCTTCAGATTTGCAGCATCTTGTACCACTGTGTCGCGACTCTAGCTGGCATTAGCAGCGTGATATGTCGATACACACTAGCATCACAGACAACAACCACAACAGCATGTTAGTAAAGTGGGTGGGTGTCTAACAGCTGTTGTGTCCAGCAAAACTCAACGATCGCTCGAACGACAGCTAAATAAAATCTTCAGTTTTATATGCGCGCGAGCAGCAACAACAGCACAATCAGCAGTCGGGAACCTAACGATAAATGATTTTCTTGGCAGCGCTTCGCTGCTTCACACGCCTACGCAGCAGCAGCAGCGACAGCAGCAGCAGCGACATCAGCGACAGTTATAGCAGCAGCGCATGCGTGTGGGCTGTCGATTGCATTGGTGTTGTTGCGTGGGTCCATTTCGGAGGGAGCGGGAGAGTGGGGTTGGCACAACAAATTTGACAAAAATAAAATATATACAAAATAGCAAAACAAACACACATACATATATATATATATATATATATGTGTGCAGCTAATATGTAAGCGCTGCGTTTACGATTTTTTTTTACATTTTTGCACTTTTGGCAGCTGCGCAGCAGACATCCGCCAGCGTTGCTTTGGGCAGCAGCTCTGCGGGCGCTGCCTGTGTGTGTGTGTGTGTGAGGCGCAGAGGGCAGCAGCAGCAGTAACAGCAGCTTTATATGGGCGGCAGGTGGTAATTTTTGTGGCCAGTCGAAGACAACAACAACAACAACAGAAAACGATGCGACGGCAGCTGCTGCTGCTGCTACTTTTTTTTTGGCGTCTTCTTTTTGAGCTGAGCTTTGGGCAAGACGTAGGACAGACAACAAAGCAATGAGCGCAGCGCTTTAAAGCTGGTTTCTGTGTGTGTGTGTGTGTGTGTGTGTGTGTGTGTGTGTGTGTGTGTGTGTGTGTGTGTGTGTGTGTGTGTATGTGTGTGTGTGTATACGTATGTATGGCTGTCTGTTTGTTGCTTTTGGGTGGTGCTGGTGGCATTGCCTTGTGGGCGTTTGCAGCAGCAACAACAACAGCAATAACAGCAACAACAACAGCAACAACAACAGCAATAACATTCACCGGAGCAACATTCACAGCAGCAACATCTTCAAGGGCAGCCATCAGTTAAGTTCAGTTGGGTTCGATTCGGGCCAAGTCATATAGCATTTAGTCGTCTCTCTGACTTCAGCTTTTGGCTATGCTTATTATTATTGCTGTTGCTGTTGTTGTTATTGTTGCTGTTGCTGTTGTCGCTTTGCTGGCAGCTGTTGGCAGGTGCGCGCCCTCATAAAACGTTGTCGAACGACCCAAAATGCAGGCGCTGCCACTCTTGCGGCTGCTGCTGCTGCACAGCAAGAAAAAATGGCGACGTTTGCGTCTGGCGTCCCTCTTTCAAGTGTCAGTTGCACCCTACTTCTCCTCCTCCGCCTTGTCCTCCTCCTCTCCGGGCCTGCGTTTTCTTATGAAATCTTTGCCTTTTACTTAAAATGCTGCCCAAGCAACATGTGCAGCGATCCTGAGCTCTGACTGCCTGTCTTTCGATCTCTGCCCCTCTGGGGCAGGGTAGAAATTAATGCAGTTGCTTTT